TACGACCGTGAACTGCCTCGACGTTAGTAACCACCGAAACTCCTCTGGACGCTCTGTGGTTCACTATTTGTGGTTCCTGTTCATGATCCTGATGACCGTGAACTCCAAGCTCTGTCCGTGAACTACGGATTTTTTCCTGGGCGTCTGCGCTTCACGGTCACGGGGCAATCGGACTTTTCTTCGGTTAACGCACTTTTTGACCTCCAATCGTCGCGAAACTTGTCCTCGACCCTTCCACACTTGCTAGGACCTGATTTGTCTCAAAACAAGCACAACCTAGCGTGAAATAGATCGACAGTCGCATATTGGCTGCTTGATTCTTGACCAGATATGATATCAGAGCAACATACATAGGGACTCGATGAAGATCAAACAACAATCGTATATAACATATGCGAATAATTACTGTTAGTAGGGCACTAACTGATTCGGACCTAATTGTACACATTTTACCCCTCATTTCTTGATAGTTTGGCTTTTCATTTCATCGTCCCTCGATATATTTCATGCTAGGTTATGCTTGTTTTGATACATTCAGGTCCTAGCACTTGTGGAAGGGTCGAGGACGAGTTTTGGGACGATTGGAGGTCAAAAAAAGCGCAAAAATCAAAGAAAAGTCCAAAGTCACCGTGACAATTGCCCCGTAACAGTGAAGCGCAGCCGTCCAGGTTTCAGGCCATGTTCACAGTTTCCCATTGGAGTTCACAGTCTTCTATGGCCGTGAACTAAAGCCATAAACCATAAACCTCGAAGCGTCTAGTGCGAATTATGAAGTTAGTGACGCAAGGCGAGTTCACGGTCAACAAGACAGTGAACTTTGAGTGCAAACCGTGAAATCATGTGAGTGAAGCGGTGCGTTTCGACACAACGCTCCAATTTGACGGACGTGTTGAAGAGTTCACGACCTTGAACTGAGGCCGATCCCCGTATAAAATGTGAGCTGAAAGGAAGAGAGATGGGAGAGCCCCAAAAGGGGGGATAGCCTTCTTCTTGAAGCCCTAGAGAGAGAAAGTGACGAACCAAGAGGGAGAAGAGGCTAGGGTTTGCTCCAAGTGAAGATTTTGGAAGATCCTCTCTCAAGGAGGAGTTCTACAAGCAGAAGGTCCTTGTAGTCAAATCGGGATTTTATCTAAAATCGAAAACTGGGGTAAAATCGGAATCGTAAAATCGAATCGTAGAATCGTAGAATTTTAAGTACCACATAGAAATTAACATATAATAATATTAATAAGGTAAATGATTAATAACACAAAGACATATAACATTTAAAGTGATAATTTTCAAGATTAATATTCCAAAATCATCATTTTAAATGTTATTTAATGCCTAACTCGAAATAATTTATGAGGAAGGGATAGAAGTCATGGGGTTTGGCTCTTGTTTTTCATGTTGTGTCTAGGTAGGTTAACTCAAAATAGTATTCCGACATCGTCTACTAAGCATGATTTTAAACTAAGAATAAGTGAACTCCAATAAGAATTTTAATGTCATTGGTTTGGTACAAATATATTCATTAATCAATTAATTTGTTAATAATGATGTTAATTCTTTCGTACTTACAATATTATGACAACTATTTTGCCGATGAGTTAAACAAGGAGAAGGGAAAGTGGTTGACGAACCCTAATTAGGTTATTTTTTTTCTTTTCAAATGTTCTTTTAATAGGAAAAATATCTGAGAAGATCCCCGTCATTGCCCTTTCCATCGAAACAGTTATGCTTCTTTTGAATTGGCTCAAACTACCTATTTTGTTCACATGGATCAAAATCCCGATTTTGGTATGATTTTACGATTTTAATCCCAATTTGGAGCGATTTTTAGATCCACCGGTTTTATATTAAAATCAGGATCGGAATCCCTAAGTAAAATCCTAAAATCCTACGATTTTACGATCAAAATCCCTATTTTGACTGCATTGGGACAAGGAGGGTTGGAGGCATCACAATGATGGTTTTTTTCTTCTTCCTTTGTGTTCTTCCTTTATCTAGCATGGTGTAGTTTTCTTTTTCACTTGGGTGTTGTAGAACCCCAACTCCTATCATGTAATTGATTGTGTGGATTGAATGATTGTGTGATGGAGGTGTTTAATTTAAGGTTTGAGGTATTATTCATGAATGATTGTGTTGTTTGAAAGCCTATCAATCTAATTGCCATTCTAACCTAGCTTAGAGAGGAGACCTCCTTTGGTTAATAGGCTCTTTATAGATGGGTTTCCTTGGGCATTCCATGCCTTCTATTCTAGGTTAATTAACGGCAAACCTCTAAGCTTGAATTAGACATCTGGGTTAATTGTGATTATACTGTCCAAACCCTTGGTGTGAGGGAGAAGGTAAGTCAACCCTAAATTGCTTGGGCCAAGAGGGCTACAATTGTAGCCTTTGCCCCCTACCTTGGTTTAGTGATTGGGAGAATGGTTTCCAACCATTGTTTCACCTCCAACGGCTCACAATTTCCTCGTCATACGCCGCTTCATTCAATGCCACGGTTCTTGGTAGTTTGTTAGTGGAAAGCAACACCCGAGTAAAGCTCATCACTTAGAGTTTTCCACCCACTTAAGCGATTGAAGTAGGAGTACATGGACCTGCCCGGGTTTGACAATTAAATATTTTCCCTATACTGCACCCGAATAGAGTTTAAAAACTTGGGCTCTAGTCGAGATTAATTCGCAGTGTAGTTTGGTGCGAGTCACTAATACATATCATTGTATCTGATCTCTCAATCATGCACAAGTTCAGGTTGTACTATTAGGGAATTTGTACATTTATGTTATGGTACAACTTGAAGTTAGGTACAATATGAAGTTGTACCATAATGTTAAAGGTACAAATTCAAGTTGTACTATAAAAGCAAAAAACTAAAGCACCAATGTTTTAAAGTATTGTAAAATTCCTCAATAGAATTATCTAACAAACCACATTATTGATTTTAATATGTTGGGTTACCGAAAACCATTTTGAATCCAAATCAATAGAGGAAAAAGGATTAGGTTGGGTTTCTGCTTCCTCGTAAGGCAAGAAAAACCATTTTGTGTTAGTATTGTCACATGTGATAGATGACATGGCGCCAACAAGGTGACAATATGGCGGCTACACATGTGGCGTATATGGAAGACTAGAAACATAGAGATTCCTCTAGGATTATCCAGGTTATGAGGAGCTTTAATCTGCACTTATTAGCCACATTATGGGTGGTATTAAGAGAGTGCATTATGGGGGGGGGGGGGGGAGTTAATGGGTGTAGTTATGAGAGAGACCATTACGAGGGGTCATTGATAGGGGTGGAAAACGGGACGGAACGGGTACCCATTCTCATTTAAAGGGGATAATCCATCCCATTTCCCAAATCCATGCGGGTAAACGAGTATCCATTACCCGTACGAGACGGTTAACGAGTATCCAAATTATTTGTATATACCCGTCGAAGAGTAACAAAATTAAATAAACTTAAAAAACCTGAAAAACAACTAAATTAGCCGCCACCTGTAGCAAGAACATATTTTCCACCTGCAGCAAGTTTTGTTGCCGCCACCACTTTCATTTAACAAGGACTATTACACAATTCAAGCAGTTATCAATAGATAACCCAACGTCAATCTAAAACAACCCACCACTTTCATTTAACAAGGACTATTACACAATTAAAGCAGTTATCAATAGATAACCCAACGTCAATCTAAATATCTAGCCCAACACAAAAGAAATAAACAATAAATGAGAATGGCTAATAGCTAGTGACTAATGGCTATGTATTGGGTATAACGGGTACCCATACTATTCAAATGGGTATTAGCAGATAATCCGCGGGTACCCAATGTTGAAATTTTCAATCCCAAGTCCTATCCCGTAATAAATATTACGGGTATTTGGGTACCCGTAACTCGAAAAAAATGGGACGGGTATGGGTATACCCAAATACCCGTTTCCTGTTGTCCACCCCTAGTCATTGATGCCTTGTATGTGGAGATGTCTATATAAGGAGTCATCTCCCTCATTGGTACCCATCCCATATTTTTTAGAGTAATACACACTAGAGAGTCCCCCAAGTTCCTTTGTCTTTCTTCTTGCTTTCTTTGCTTGCGCGTGAGTTCTCTAACGGAATCGAGAGCTAAAGCCGCACGACCAAGAGTAAGGTCGTGACAAGTGGTATCAGAGTCTGGTTTGGCTTGGTGCTAGCAAAGAAGAAGTAAAGCCAAACGAAGAGGAAGAGCCTTACCAAAAATGTAGGCATCAGAAGGTGGCGTTATTGAAGCTGAGAAGCAACGCAGAAGAGGTCCCAACAAGAGGTCGAGGCCTAAAGGCACATCAAGTACTCGTGATCTTGTTACGGCTCTAGAGAAGCGCGTCTCTAGAGTGGAAGTGAAGGTGGCCGAAGATGTCACCGCAATTGAGAATTTTGGAGTGCACGACACCCAAGTCCAAGGGGATGTTCAAGGAATGGTTCCTATGTTGTCGAGCTTGGAGATCGATAGTGATGGGCTTCGTGAAGAGGTAGTGGCCCTCATCACCAACACCATCTCCAATTTCATGAACAACGCGATCGAATTTGTAACAAAGTATATCCAAGCTGCGGTGGGCGGCGTGAAGGAGGAGATTGCAGACCTCAAGAGTGAGGTCACTCTAATGAAGAGAGCCATGGCTAGCGGACCAGCCCCATCACAATCTATCACGCGAGTTGATGTTCCAAGACCGAAGAACTTCGGAGGTTCAAGGAATGCGAGGGAGTTAGAGAATTTCCTTTGGAGTCTTGAGCAACAGTTCAATGCATCCAGCATCCAAGAGGAGGAGGTAAAACTTCGTATCACTCCACTTTACTTGGTCGATATCGCAATGGTTTGGAGGAGGCGACGTGAAGCAGACATCAAAAGGGGTACGTGTGTGATGACAACATGGAATGAGACATGAAAAGAGGAGGCGACGTGAAGCAGACATCAAAAGAGAAATCAAGAGAAATTTCTATCTGAATAACGTGGAGTTCGAATCCTGTTCGAGGTTTATGAGGCTCACCCAGAGGGGTGGAGTTCGAGGATGTTTGGGTGCGGCGGGAGGAAGAGCATGACCTTGGGCTCCTTCTCGAGGCAGTCGCGGTCGGCTTGGTCGGCGAGCAAGGATTTCTCGATGGTCTTGCAGGTGAAGAAGGAGTTCTTTGTAGGAGAGAAGCACTGGGAGATCACGCCAAATCGGCCCCGTCCGATCTCCTCGCACACCTGGTACTTGTTCTTCAGCGTCTCGCTCATCGCTAGAGTCTTCATCTTTTTTCCTCTTCTCTCTTCTTGCTTCTTGTCGATTGGGTTCTTGGTTCATGTCGTCAATGGCAGAATTTGGGGGAGGCGGTGGATCTGGATATGAGGGGTTCTTGGTTTTTTACATAAAAAGATAAATAAAATTTAGGTTTAATCATTTTTATAACAATATTTATTTTTTTTATTTTTTTAATTAAAAATATGAGGTGTCACTGACGTGGCATATACGTGGCTGCCACGTCAACAAAAGTCAATGTTAATGTTGACTTCCGTTTGGTCAACCGTTATATATAACGGTCAACAAAATCGGCAGGACACAAATGACACAAAACTATCATAGGTTGGGACACAAATGTCATATCGAATACTTTAGGACACAAATGACACAAAGTTAATAATTCGGGTTTCCTAGTGGTATTAACCCAAATATTTTTGTGTAAACAAATGTGAAACACTTTTGTTACTAATTATTCCTTTATTTTTGTTTTCAAATCTCATTTTTCTTCTCTCCCTCGATAATGTGAACACTTTAATTACTAATTATTCCTTTTTGTATTGCGAACCACATGGGTTTTTTTACCAAGGATTGTTTGTATTACAAAGAAAGTAAAGATATAACGTTTACAACTCTACAAGGATCTAAGTGCAAAAAAGAAAACTGGTTAATCAACTGGAGACAAAGTTAGGGCTTTCTTAGACACCATATAGGCTATCCTATTGTTCTGCCCACCTACAAAGCATACTGTCAATCCTACCGAATTTCCTGGAAGATAACACCCTCTTTGATATTAGCAGTCATCCCTGAATTCAACTTATTAATCACCACCTTCCCATCGTCAAATAAATGTGTTGAAGGAAATCTTTTGTCACTGCACCACTGGATCGTATCACGCAAAGCCACCAATTCCAAAATCCAAGGTTCTTGAGGTCTTTCTAGACATGATCTACGCATTATCACCACATCTCCAAAACCATTTAGAATGACATTCCATACTGCTACATGCGATCCACTACATACGGCCCCATCAAAAGAACACTCGGCATTGGATCAATGTGGCGTACTTTGAGCCTCTAAAGGGGTTCTATGGCCCACCCTAGCAGTGCTCACATCACCATATGGAGGTAGCGTGAGCAACTCCAACACCTAGGTCTTATACTGGCGTTGAGAAACTGAGATGCGAACATGTTTAAAATCAAACATCACTCGGTTTCTTACCTTCCGAAAAAGCCAAAGAAACCCTATAGCTCGATTACTCTATCTGGTGAGGGTTCGCATCTCAGCACTTGTTGAAGAAAGATGGCACAGTTCTCAACCTCTAATTATGCCATTAGAGGCCTCAACCCCGAAGCTTCCTAAAGGGTCATAGCCACTATACAAAAAATAAAGAGATACTCGAACGTTTCCTCCTCCACCCAACACATAGGATGCTAGACCAACACCTCAACCTCCTTTGTTAACAAGGCCTTTGTAGTTGGGATTAAAGTTCAAGAAGTCTTTACGTGTAAGATAGGTGTTGGGGCCTCGTCTATGCATCGCCTACGCGTGACTAAGCATTGGAAGCAAAAATAATAATTTGTACTAAATAATGAATAAAAATAACAAGTAACATCACTTCCAACTTTACTCTTGCTAATAGCTTTATGCCTTCCTTTCCTCCTCTCCTCAATCGCTTCCTCCTCTTCATGGTGAAAGTGTGAAACAAAATAAAAACAATCGGTGGAGGAGCCACGAATGCGATTGCGGCGAGACGACGATGACCCCGAGGGTGGCCACAAACATAGGCGGAGGCAGGCTACTTTGGATGTGTCCTAGGACACAGGTGAAATTTGGGGTAGAGAAATAATACCCATATGTGTATCAAGTTAGAGGTGGAAATTGGTACGGTATATGGTATTGGAATACCAATACCAAAATCTTAAATGCCGAATTATATTCTAAAATTAATGTCAATCTCAATCCTTGAATAATTTCGGTATCTCAATCCCTAAATATTTTGGTATCACAATTGATATTATCGAATACAAAAATTACCTTTGCAGTTAATAATTAAATATATAAATTTAATTTAATTGTTTAATTTAGAGCAAAGAGACTAAGCAACGAGTATTGAGTTTGTCTAGAGCTAGGATATGGATAAGGAAAATGGAGGAGAGGTGACATCTCAAATTCTTGTCATTGGTAATCTTTAATATGACGTATTGGAGGCTGAGAGACGACTAATACGAGTGTTTGTTTTGTGGAGTTATGAAAATAACAAGAGATTAGGTGAGAGACGAGAGTGACTTAGACTGAAAAGTCAAAATTGTGTTGGATGGGGTTTCTAAGTTGTGAAAGAGTGAGGAATGACCTAAGGTTGTGTGCTATATTTCATTAATTTTTTAACTTTCGGTATTTCGGTATATACCGACCCAAATCTCGTAATCCCGAATACCGAATAACACTTGAAAATGAATCACAATCCCAATTCCTAAAAAATAAGCTGGTATTCGATAATACCTAATAGTGATAAATTCGGTATGGTATACAGTATATCCCAAATACCGGTACCAAACTTTGAGCCCTATATCAAGTATTGAACCCTTGACTTTTTGGATAATGAATAAGTATCATATCACTACAAAAAAGGCAGTCATTATCGACGACACGATTTTTGTCATAATTGATAAAATTTCGTCGGAAAATATCTTTTACGACGACATTTCGTCGTCAAGCGTCGTCAGAAATCGTCCCGTCGCTAATAAAATATTATTGACAAGTCGTCAAATTTACAATATTATTGACGACATAAATACGTTAATAATAAAATACATGACGTCACAAAAGAAATCACTCATGACGGATGAATTTGCCGAACTTTTTTTTTACGACAGCTTAATTTATTTTTCACGCATTATGTTTGTAGAAAAACCATTTTTTATGATGAGACGTCATAAATAATAATTATACTAACGTCCATAATTCATCGAAAATAACTATTTGCGACCAGAATTTGAGGCCGAACTTTTTTTTATACGTTGTACATACATTTATGAGGATGTGTATGCGTCACTAATATATTATTACTGACGTTTAGTCAAAAATATAAATTTTACTGATGCCGATAAATTGTCTTTAAAACTATGTTTTTTCCGACGTGTCGTCGCAAGAATTATTATTTCCGAGGACAACTATTCATCGTAAATAAAATCTTTTCCAACGTGTCGTTGGATAAATTTTTACTTACGATGACAACTATTCATCATTAAAAAAACTTTCCCCACGTGTCGTTGGTTATATTTATATTACTGAGGACATATGTTTATCGTCGGAAAAAATATTTTTACTAAGGACAGGTAATTATCACCAAAAATTATCTTTTCCAACACGTCGTCGGAGAAACTACATTTACTAATGACACTTAATTATTGTCATTGCTTGATCAAATTTCATTTGTGACGCCATTACACTTTTAGTGATGACAAAACAAACAAATCATCCAAACAAAGTTATGCATATTCCAAAATTAACTTTCAAACTGTCTAACAAGTAGCCATCAGCTACGAGCAAACATCCAAACTTCAAATGGCAAAATATCCTCCGAAAATGACACAAAATATCCCAAAGTCAAGCGATACTTAGAATCCTACGATAGGATTCAAAAGAAATTCATGCATCAGCAGCAGTCTCCTCTGCAGTCTCCACATCAGACTCGTCGTCGAACTCGTCGTCGGCCACATCGTTACCCTGAGTTTCCCCAACTCGACCTTGTTCCCCATTTTCTTCACTGTTGAGATCCTACATAGAATATAACAATAAATTAGCCATAGCTTCGAAAATTATGTAATGAGTAAAAAATAAAACATGGCAGCAAAATATATACCATGTCGAATGACTCGGGCAACCGCACTCCAAGTCTCTTCAAGACAGATTCAACAATGTGAGGGACTGCATTCCTCACATCTACGATCTCATCCTCCAACTTCTTCATTTTCTCATCATTTTTCCCCCTTTCTTTGGTTCGATCCTCCTGACAAAGCTTGCTGCAACCCTGACTACCTTGACTCGATGGGGGACCGAAGACATCGACCGAGCTCACCCCATGGCCCATCCCTAGAACACGCTTTGGGCGTTGTGGTCCGATCACTTCTTGATAGATGGCAAATTTGTTTGGTTCTTCCCCTTGGGATACCTTTTCAGCCTCTGCTTGTACCATTCCATCCTAATCATGGAGTAAACAACATCAATATCAATAAAAAAAAACAACAAAAATGAGTACAAATAGCAACCTAATACTTTGTAAACAACATCAATATCAATAAAAAAAAAGACAACAAAACCGAGTACAAACAGCAACCTAATACTCTGTAACATTTTTGAACTTACATGCAGGGTTTTTGCTTTTGACGAAACCCAGTTCTTGTCCTTCTTCACATGTAAACTGAGTACACTTGAAGCCTAACATAAACATTAGCAATAGTGCAACAACTTACCTCTTCATGTCTATACTTGGCCAACGGTGCTGAACCGCCAGTGGCTGCAAGCTCACTCTTCTCCCGATTCCCTTTATTCTTATCACTCATTTCCTTGAATTCGAAACAAGAAACAATCAGCTCACCATTGAAAACAGATTAGGATGAAAGACAAACACCAAAGCATACACCCAGTTAACTTACCACCCAATTCGGGTTAGTCCATTTCTGAACCATCTCCCTCCAAATTGATGGACTAATTTGAGGTGGTGGTATGGTTCATTCTCTGATTCAGATCCTTATACTTCTTGAAAATTCGGTCTTGGAGACCATACATCCACTGGGGAAAGTTTCTCTTCACGTGGTCTCTGACCATATCGTTGAAAGTCTCTTCTGACCCAGTGTAAGTGAATCCTAAGTCCTTGAAACGAGCTATCACAGTCTCGAGTTCTGATGCAGGATACTCTGAGAACGTAATCCAAGGCCCATTGATGCTCCTTTTTAAGATAGCTGAAATTTCACGAGCTGCTTGAGTGGTAATTATCCTTCAAACTAGTCAAAAATTCTTAGATGCCATTGTATGAAGGTTTTTCAAACTAGTCAGAGATTCTCAGACGCCATTGTATGAAGGTTGTGATGAAAAGATATCCAGTCTGTCATGCCTGGTGAAGATGATGCATTTGAAGTGGTTCAATTCTGGGAGTAATACCTCTTTTACTCAATTATTGAAGTTTCTTCATTCAACTTTCCCTATGGCACAGTCTACAATGCCGAAGAATTACTATCAAGCAAAAAAGATGTTGAGTGGCCTTGGGCTAAATTATGAAGAAATAGATGCTTGTGAAATTGACTTTGTCATTTACTACGGGGAGCTCAAATAAGCAACGACATGCCCTTCCTGCCAGAAACCAAGGTACAAGAAAATCAGGAAGGATAGTAGGGGAAGAGTCACCAAGGTGCCCTACAAGATACTAAGATATTTTCCCATAAAGCCAAGATTACAAAGCTTATTCATGTCGCGAAAAACTGCGGAGGATATGGTGTGGCATAGCGAACAACGTGCCAGAGATGACAAATTAAGGCACCCTGCAGACAGTGAAGCTTGGAGAGTTTTGGACCAGTATGATGCATCTTTTGGTTCCGACCCTTGCAACGTCCGATTAGGATTAGCAACGGATGGCTTCAATCCATTTGGCAACATGAATAAAAAGCATATTACATGGTCGGTAATTCTACTCCCGTATAATCTCCCACCGTGGTTATGCATGAATAGTCCATATCTATTATTGACATTACTCATTCCTGGTCCGAAAAGTCCAGGAAACCATATTGATTTCTACCTGTGACCACTCATTGATGATCTGAAGTCATTGTGGAGTGAGGGAATAATGACTTATGATGCATTCAAGCAAGTGAATTTCAACATGAAAGCTGCATTGTTGTGGACTATCAATGATTTTCCTACATATGGTCTCCTTTCTGGTTGGAGTACAAAAGGCAAATTGGCATGCCCTTCTTGCACAGGGAACACCTCACATTTGAGGTTGAATAATGGATGCAAGGAATGTTACTTGGATCATCGCCGTTTTTTGCCATTGGATCATAAATGGCGCAAGCAAAAGGAGTTTAACGGCACTGTAGAAAAAAGACGTGCACCTGAGCGATTATCATTCAAAGAGGTAAAAAATCAACTTCTCTCTTTACAAACTATACCTTTCGGTAGTAAGGGAAATGGCAAAAAAATCAATGGGTTTGGAAAAACTCATAACTGGAAAAAGAAGTCTATTTTCTTTGAATTGCCATATTGGTCATCGCTCTTAGTACGCCACAATTTGGATGTCATGCATATGGAGAAAAATGTATGTGATAGTATTCTTGGTACTATTATGAATATTGAGGGCAAAACAAAGGATGGTCTAAGTGCATATCGTGATTTGGAGGAGATGGGTATAAGGAAAGATCTTCATCTTGTTGAGAGGAATGGGAAAACAGAGTTACCTAGAGCTGCATATAGCTTGACGGCGGCAGAGAAGAAATCCTTGTGTTAGTGGCTATCAAAAGTTAAGGTACCATATGCTTATTCCGCAAGTTTGGCACGTTGTGTCAACGTTGATGATCGAAAGATACATGGGATGAAAACTCATGATTGTCATGTGTTCTTGGAGAGGTTATTACCGTTACCCGCCCGTGACTTATTTTCGAAGGTCATATCGGACACACTGATTGAGCTTAGCAAATTTTTCAAGGACATATGTTCCAAGGAGCTAAACGTGGAAGATTTGAATTACTTGGAGTCTCAAATTTCCATAATCATATGTAAGTTGGAACGTATTTTTCCTCCTGCCTTATTCGATATAATGATCCACCTGCCCATCTATCTGCCTTGAGAGGCCAAAGTTGCTGGTCCAGTTCAGTATCGATGGATGTATCCTATAGAAAGGTACGCTATATATAACTACACTAACATTATTATATATACTGACATTTTGGAAACTTTGTGTAGTTAATTTGACAATTTTTAAACAATTTAGGTATTTGAAGAAGTTAAAAGGTTACGTTCGTAACAACGCACGTCCAGAGGGATCAATCGCCGAAGCTTATATTGTTGATGAATGTGTCACATTTTGCTTGCAATATTTGACCGGAATGGATACTATATTTAATCGGCCAGAGAGAAATGTAGATAAACCTTCATCGTCGTCGCAGCCATCTCATAACCTATCAGTTGTTCCGGGTGTCGGTCGTGTCATTGGTGTGAAGGACGAAATGAGAGACTTAAATTCTGATTTGTGGAAGGCGGCAGCTTCTTATGTCCTACAAAACTGTGATGAGGTGCAAGATTTTATAAGGTACATATACATATATACCAATATTATTTATTTATTGTATGCTAGAATATAATTTATTTTAATTATATTAATTACAGAACTCACAAGGAACAACTAAGCAATCGAGGTGTTCGTATGGTTGAAGCAGTGCATAAGCAAGAATTTGCTAAGTGGTTCCTATTAAAGGTACACACATGTCATATATAATAACGAATTTTCATATTTAAAAATTATCGCAAGCTAATTTTAAGTTTATCCTTGCAATTATTTGCAGATTACACGAATGCACAATGATAAAGTGCCAAGTTTGAATCCTTCTTTGTTATCCTTAGCTCAAGAGCCAGACAAACGAGTCATGCACTACTTAGGATATTGTATCAATGGATTCAGATTTCACACTCGTTCTCGCGAGTTAACCAAAAGCAGTCAAAACATTGGTGTGATGGTGAGAGGGGAGAACGATGGTGGAATTCATTACTATGGCGTTCTCACCGATATCATCGAGCTTCGTTATACGGAAGGGCTTCGTGTTGTATTATTTCAGTGTGAGTGGTATGACACCGCTCGCGAAGGCGTTGGTTACAGGAAAAATGGACATGGCACGATTACCATCAACACAACGCGAAGGCTTAGAACAGATGAGCCATTTGTTCTGGCTAGTCAAGCAATTCAAGTTTATTATGTGCAATCTTTAAGAGATCCAAATTGGGAAATTGTGGTTGAAACGCGACCAAGAAATTTGTTCGCGATGCCATCTAATACGGAAGGAGAAGGAGAAGGAGAAGGAAAAGGAGCATTAGCCGAAGCCTATCAAGAAGACAATAATTTAATTGATGATCCTAGGGTACTCCAAACCGAGGGAGATGATCTCTTAAACTGGACTAGAGCGGGGTTCGAAGATTAAGTATGACTAATTTGGTCTTTGTAGATCGAAATATATATTATATAATTTCCATTATATTTTTCATAGAACAATGCTTACTATGTGTTTTTTATATATTGATTCAATAATCATTTCTAAAACATGTCATTCTTGTGTATGGCGTACAAAATGTATTTGTGCGTCAAAAATGTGTTTTACGATATCAGAAAAGTGGTTTTCCAGACCAAATAGTATTGACGAACTTTTATGATATCAGAAAATGTTTTTTACTGACCAAAAATATTGAAGTAATTTTAATATTATCAGAAAAGGTGTTTTCTTGACCAAATATTATTGATGAAATTTTACTGTTGTCAAAAAAGAATTTTTTTTGACCAAATAGTACCGACGAAGTGTTTATGGCGTAACAATTGGGGATTTTCTGACCAATTAGTGATGAAATTTTGGTATTGTAAAAAAAAAGATTTTCTGACCAATTTTTAATGACGAAAATTTCATTCCGTCAAAATTAAAAATTTAATTTCGATTATCGGTATTTTGACGTCAATAATAATTATATTTTCTGACGACATATTTTTGTTGGTTAGTAATAATGATTATTTCTAACGCATAATATGACATCGTCAAAAATAATCCGCGTGAAAAATGGAAAGTGGGGCAAAAAACATTTTACTGACGAAAAAAATACTATTTTTGATAAAAAAAACACATCTGTCAGTAATAATTTCATTATTACAGACGAAAATTGTTTTTCTTCGGAATTATTAATTTTTTTTACGCATTTTTTAGTCGTCAGCAAGATTTCGTCACAACTGCCTGCCTTTTTTGTAGTGTATCACTACACTAAAGATTATTTCTTGTTTATTTTCAATTTTATTAATTTTAATTTTATTTATTAATTTTATTTATTTATATATATTCTGAGAAGAGGACACAAAGGTATCGAGTGGTTGATCTCTCTCATCCAAGCGACGCACGAAGGCCTAGTGGCCCGATCCGACCAGGCGACGCGAAGATGGGGAACCCTAATCAACGGTTTGTGCAATGGGTCTGGTCTTGGCGGTGCATGCAGCAAGGGGTATGGTTCTGGTTGTGTTAGGGAAAGTTAGGAGAGGAGGCTTTGATGGATTGGGAGATTGTGAGGCTTTGATGAATTTGGACAGGGAGGGGAATTGAGTTTTGGACGAGATGAGGAAGAAGAAAAATCACAAAGGTAGTGGCTCAACCACAACTTTTTTGTGGTGAGGAAGCAACGGCGTTGGGACCAACGGCGGATCCGGGATATAGTAGAGCACTGAGCTGCATTTCATTAGAAAATTAGATATTGTAAAAAAATCATAGTTTTTTTTACAATATCAATTGTACACGTCGATCTTTTAGTATAGCAAATTCATCAATAATGGAGTCTACATCAATACCAATAGCATACTGCTCTCTTTCAAATAAAATAGTTAACCAATTGGCGAGAAATTCATCGCTCATTTTGTTGCTCAAATAATATTTTACATGTTCCGTTGTTGAAAATGTTCTCTCCATATTAGTTGTTGAAATAGGCAATGTCAACACTAGACAAATCAATCCACTAATAAATTTGTATTGTGTATCCATCTTTATTTCCACAAGCCACTCTAGTAATTTTCAAAGGAACAAACCTCATATTTCTTTTAGTCTTTTATGTTTAGACTTTTAGAATTTTAGGTTTCATTGTTTGTTTTTCTTTAGACGAGAATCATTG